AAGGAGCCTCCACAACACTCCGGGGCAGAGAGTTCCACTGCTGAACAGCTCTCACAGTCAGGAAGTTCTTCCTCATGTTCAGATGGAATCTCCTCTCTTGTAGTTTGAAGCCATTGTTTCCGCGTCCTAGTCTCCAGGAAGCAGAAAACAAGCTTGCTCCCTCCTCCCTGTGGCTTCCTCTCACATATTTATACATGGCTATCATATCTCCTCTCGGCCTTCTCTTCTTCAGGCTAAACATGCCCAGCTCCTTAAGCCGCTCCTCATAGGGCTTGTTCTCCAGACCCTTGATCATTTTAGTCGCCCTCCTCTGGACACATTCCAGCTTGTCAATATCTCTCTTGAATTGTGGTGCCCAGAATTGGACACAATATTCCAGGTGTGGTCTAACCAAAGCAGAATAGAGGGGTAGCATTACTTCCCTAGATCTAGAGAGGGACCTAGAGAGGGAATACTATTTGGCGCATGGGTTAGTGAAAGCACAGCACAAATATTGGGTCTGCAAGAAAGGGACTGTACTGTGCGCCCCATTTGACTTTTGTACTAAATGCAGACCTCCTTTTCCAAGGCCTTCTAAGCATCACAGGATTTCCAGCCCCTCTTTCTCAAGGAAAGAGCACAGCACAATGGTGTTCCCAGGGATTGGAGCTCTTTTTCTAAGTTTACAATATTTTTCAGGCAATCATCAGCCTTCAAATGCTCTGCAAGGCTGCCTCCTGGTGGGGAAATGAACCTAAAAAAAATGAATTTTTAAATACGTTTTGTAAATGCTTCGTAATTCGTTATGTATTCGTTTCGTTATCGTTTTGAGGTCGTTTCGTTATTATTTCCGCATGTCTGGGGCAAGTTTTATAGTTGTTTTTTGTTTAATTAGTGAAAAAAAATTATAATATCACACCAACAGTCAACAACAGAGGGAGAGGGAAGCTTCAGAAGTTCCCCCTGTCCCATTTGGAGGTTTTTTAGCGTATTGCGCGGTCGCGTCCGCCATTAACGAATCGATTCGTTATTGTTTCGGAAATCGTTTCATTAATGTTTTGTAATTTTTTCACATTTACGAAATTTCGTAAATATCGAACTTTTTAAAAGGAAAATTTTGTAATTATTTTAAATAACGAAACGCAAAAAACCCCAAAAAAACGAATCGATTTTAGAAACAAATTTTTCCGTTGTTACCCAGGCCTTGGTACACATTATATGCTAATCAAGGTGGTCAGTTGAAACATTCACACCTAGCTCCAGCAGACAAGAGTCCTTTGTCTCACCCTGGTCATTCCACAGATATATAAACCCTTTTTCCTAGTTCCAACAGACCTCACTACCTCTGAGGATGCTGGCCATAGATGCAGGCGAAACGTCAGGAGAGAATGCCTCTAGACCATGACCATACAGCCCAAAAAAACCTACAACAACCCAGTGATTCCGTTTTGGATGAAGGGGGCTGGTGGTTCAATTCTAAAGTCACTTCCATTTTTTTAAAAAAAAAATCTAAATTTTCAGAAACTTCTGAAACTTCCGAATCGCTTTGTTAATGGCAGACGCGCATGGAAGGAGATTCCATCTGAACATGAGGAAGAACTTCCTGACTGTGAGAGCCCCTTAGCTGGCTTCATGCTGATTGGTTGGAGTTATCAGCTGGAGGAGAGGTGCGGTCGGCTTAGGTGCACCTCAGCCAATGAGAAAGCCAGCACCACTTTGGCTTCTCGGCCAATGGGGAGCAAGGAGGCGGTCTGAGCAGGAAACAATGAACCAGGAGGGAAAAAATGAGTGGATTAGGTGACTTAATGTTTGTACAATCGCCGGTGATAACTTTTTAAGTCCTCAAGGAGGCTTCTTCTATTATGCTGAGTGTATGGAATATATACATCTTTGTCTGACCCGGAAGTCAGACCCTTTGAAATCCTTGGGTCGGAGATATGGTTCCATTGATAGCATCTGACTTCTGGTATCAGCCCGAGGAATGTCAACAAAGAAGGAGGCAGTGGGGACATCAATACCCTCCTTAGGCAGGATGTCCCCTGTGGTAAGGAATGATTGAATTTGCCATGGGGCACATCCTCCAGATGGGCAAACTCCGACATCTGAAATATCGTGCCCATTGTCCTATTGTTCATGCAAGAGGTTTCTGTTGAGTCCTTTCAGTCAGGGGATTATCTATCCCAGGAAATGAGAAGATTTTCCTGAGATCTTTGGTGTGCTGGGGTCACGAAGAGGTGGCATTTCATATTACAACTAGGCTTGGTTGATCAAGAAAAAAATGGTTCTAAACTCGTTTCGTATATAGGAGGCGCTGGCGGTTCGATTTTGAAATTATTTCCAAAATTTTCTTTAAAAAAAGATCAGAAATACCAGGAAATACGAATCGCTTCCTTTGTTTCGTTAATGGAAGGTGCCCTTCCCTCCCTCCAGAACCATTAAAATCTCGCAGTTTCCCTTCCTTCCCTTGCGGCGAGCTTCCATGCAGAAGGGATAGGTGGGCATGGCCAAGCACAGCCCTCCTCGGAGGCCTTGTCCCCAGCGACCTTTTAACGAACACTTTTAAAATCGCTCACCTTTCCTTCTCTTCCCTGGCAAGTCAGTCATGCAGAAGGGAGAGGTGGGCATGGCCAAGCACAGCCCTCCTTGGAGGCCTTGCCCCCAGTGACGTGGCCAAGTACAGCTCTCCTTGGAGGTCACTGGGGTGTGGCCTTCAGGAACAGCTGTTCTTACCCACGCCCACCTCCTTCCTCTTTGCATCGGCGGCTTTGCAAGCAGAAGGAGAGGTGGGCATGGCCAAGCACAGCCCTCCTCGGAGGCCTCGCCCCCAGCGCCCTCCAAGGAGCGCTGTGCTTGGCCACGCCCACCTCTTCCTTCTGCATGACTGACAGCTTGCCAGGGAAGAGAAGGAAAGGTGAGGGATTTTAAAACTAACACTTTTAAAATCTCTCACCTTTCCTTCCCTTCCTGGCAAGCTGTCCATCATGCAGAAGGGAGAGGTGGGCATGGCCAAGCACAGCGCTCCTCGGAGGTCGCTGGGGGAGGCCTCCAAGGAGGGCTGTGCTTGGCCATGCCCACCTCCTTCCTCTTTGCATCGGCGGCTTTGCGAGGTGGGCTTTGCGACCACCTCGCAAAGCCGCCGATGCAAAGAGGAAGGAGGTGGGCATGGGTAAGAACAGCTGTTCCTGAAGGCCACGCCCCCAGCATTTACGATTCACTGGCGGAAGTCGTAAGGAAGATGGCGGACGCGGCTTCAAAATGGCAAGATCACTTCCGGGTTCCCAAATCGTGTCGATACCGCTTCTAAAGGTATTTATTTAACGAATTAATAACGTGATAAGAAATTAACAAACTGGATCAACCAAGCCTACCAGACATATATGGGGTTCATGAGGCATACATTCATAAAGAAGGGAAAAGAAATCATATCAACCCTCCCCACCTCCACCCAGAGTCCATTTCATAAAGTATGGAGAGCATAAAGTTTTTATTGGCTAACCTTTAGCATGGATGTGTAAATGTTTCTCAGCTCAAAAGGGAGTCCCTTTTGTTTGTGAGTCTTTGACTGAGATGGGAAACCAATTGGAGAGCTGTTAATTCTCTAGCCCAGATGTGTCTCAGATGGAAAAAGTCAAATGAAAAAGTCAAAAGCTGGAATGTGTCCAGAGGAGGGCGACTAAAATGATCAAGGGTCTGGAGAACAAGCCCTATGAGGAGCGGCTTAAGGAGCTGGGCATGTTTAGCCTGAAGAAGAGAAGGCTGAGAGGAGATATGATAGCCATGCATAAATATGTGAGAGGAAGCCACAGGGAGGAGGGGGCAAGCTTGTTTTCTGCTTCCTTGGAGACTAGGGCATGGAACAATGGCTTCAAACTACAAGAGAGGAGATTCCATCTGAACATGAGGAAGTACTTCCTGACTGTGAGAGCCGTTCAGCAGTGGAACTCTCTGCCCCGGAGTGTGGTGGAGGCTCCTTCTTTGGAAGCTTTTAAACAGAGGCTGGATGGCCATCTGTCAGGGGTGATTTGAATGCAATATTCCTGCTTCTTGGCAGAATGCGGTTGGACTGGATGGCCCACGAGGTCTCTTCCAACTCTTTGATTCTATTGATTCTAATGATTCTCTGATTGCTGGGGATTCCTCATTTTCGGAAGAGGAAGGGAGCAGGGAAGTGCTCAGGAACTGGAGGGAGAAGAAGAATCAGACGATGAGGGTTTGAAAGTGCCCACATTTCTAGAGAGACGAAAAGAGACAGAGCACAGGTGGTGTTCAGCTAGAATAGCTGCTAAAAACACTGAGCTATCTGGCCATCTGTCAGGGGTGCTTTGAATGCAATATTCCTGCTTCTTGGCCGAATGGGGTTGGACTGGATGGCCCAGGAGGTCTCTTCCAACTCTTTGATTCTATGATTCTATGATTTGTGGGATGGTTTTCAGTAATAAATTTGTTACCTTCTGCTATATACGAATTTAGGGCATAAAACCTTGATTAAATTTACACACTATGTAACATGGGAAGGGTCCCTGTTGTTGTTGTCAGTGTCTTTGCAATTTGACCAAGACTTCACCCCTATTATCCAGCCTGATGTCCTTGTCCTTAGCAAAACTGTAAGTTGCTATCTCTTATGCGGAGAGGGGTCATGTTAGACTTCACGCTTGTCTTCCTGGTGAGTGCTTGAGCAAGGTGAGCTCTAGTTGAGGAGCAACCCCTTTGAGCAAATGCTGTCCTTGCAGAGCTCAGAAAGCGTTAGCTCTACAATGAGATAAAACCGGGCATCGCTTTCCTTTGCTGGAGGATGCTGGGAGTTGTAGTCCCAAATTACAAAACCAGGCCAGGTCCCTTCTTTCATTCCTGATTGACTTCAGGAATTGCATTTTCCCATTAAAGACCCATCAAGAGACTTTGACCAGACCTGGACGTTTGCAAAGTATTTCACACTCAACCAAAGCAAACGCGTTTTGCAAAACCTGGGCTGGGCTTCCCCAACTCCCTCCTCCTTATCCTCCCCCCCCCTCCCAAGAGTCAGCTGGTTGAAGTGGTCATGTGACCGCCTTCTCTTCCTCCTCTTTCCCTAGTCCCTTGGCCTTTGGTGGGCGAGTGTCGGAGGCAGGATGGCGACCTGGACCAAGTACCAGCTCTTCTTAGCCGGCCTTATGCTGGTCACCGGTTCCATCAACACCCTCTCGGCCAAGTGAGTCTCCGGATCGGGGCCCTGCCTTGGGGGGCGAGGGGGGTGGGAGTGACCCATAGCTTCCCAGTGTCTCTCTTTCCAAGAGGGAGTTGGAGAGGATTGCAAGGACTGAGCTTTGGAGGATGCATGGTGGTGGCGCATGCAGCAAAAAGGGCTTTGCAGTCTATAGAACAGGCATGGGCCCACTTGGGTTCTCCCTCCAGGTGTTTTGGACTTCAACTCCCACAATTCCTAGCAGCCGGTAGGCTGCTGGAATTGTGGGAGTTGAAGTCCAAAACACCTGGAGGGACCAAAGTGGGCCCATGCCTGCAAGCTGGGTCATAGTCTACACAGGCTTTGTAAACAATCCATGGGAAAAGGATCTGAGAATCATAACAAGAGTTGGAAGGGATGGTATCTCACTGAAATGATTTATTCTATTAATTTATTTATTGGATATATTTAACGAAAGCCTCCCAATATGAGTCAAACTCTGATCTTCTCATCCCCCCCCCCCCCTGAACACCCTCATTTCCATTGATAGTTTATCATTTAAGGCTACATTCCATACCTCCCCATACCATGCTTCCAGCATGAGATTGGTTACTATCTTCCAATTCCTTGCAATTATAAGTCTTGCCACTGTGAGTAAAATAATCACCAATTCTTTCTTTTCCATTTCTAAATTCAACTTTGTGGCATCCATTAGTAATACTAACTTATCATCCAGGGTGATGTTTAGTCCTTTAATGTTACCTATTGAACTTCCTGCTATGAGAGCCATTCAAGAGTGGAACTCTCTGCCCCGGAGTGTGGTGGAGGGTCCTTCTTGGAAGCTTTTAAACAGAGGCTGGATGGCCATCTGTCAGGGGTGCTTTGAATGCAATATTCCTGCTTCTTGGCAGAATGGGGTTGGACTGGATGGCCCATGAGGTCTCTTCCAATTCTAGGATTCTATGATTCTATGATTCCTGCTTGAGTTGCTTTGCCCAGAACTGGAGACAGGGTTATTCCAGGTGAAGAGGTCTGAGCAAAACAGAAGAGAGCCAGACTATGACTCAGTCTAGACAATAGAGCCCATTAACTGGATGGCCATCTGTTGGAGGCGTGTTGATTATGCTCCTGCTGGGCAGGGGGTCAGACCGAATGACCCTTGTGGTCTCTTACAACTCTATGATTCTAGGTTCTTGTGGGTTTTTTCGGGCTATAGAGCCATGTTCTAGAGGCATTTCTCCTGACGTTTCGCCTGCATCTATGGCAAGCATCCTCAGAGGATGCTTGCCATAGATAGAATCTTATGATTCTATTACTTAGTCTAGAATTATATTCTAGACGCATCACACTTCTGGCTCATGCTCAGCTTGAAGAGATGCGCAAGATGAGAGGATAGAGTCCAGTGCTCAAACCACTATACCATGCTGCCATATATGTATTGGCCCCATGTAAGCCGCCCCGAGTCCCTTCGGGGAGATGGAGGAGGGGTAGAAAAACAAAGTTCTTCTTCTTCTGTGTATGTATGTGTGTGATTGTATGCATGTGTGTGTGTGTGTGCGCGTGCGTGCGTGTATACACACATATACATATATACATATTAGCTGTACCCTGCCACGCATTGCTGTGGCCCAGCCTGTGTATATGTGTTTTGTGTGTGTATATATGCATATATGTGTGTGCATATATGTTTGTATGTGTTTTGCATATGCATTGCAATGTATTTTTTTTGCTTTTTTGGTTTTTAAGTCCCTTCTGCTGTCTTTTGCTTGCTTTTTATGTATATGAATGATGACAATTACATGACCCAACATCACTTGTTGGCCTGATATGTGTATTGGCCTGATATGTGTATTGTGTCCAAATTTGGTGTTAATTTGACCAGTAGTTATGTTATGTTAATTCCACAAACAAGCATTACACACACACGTGTGTGTATGTGTATATGTATATATATGAGTGTGTGTATGTGTTGGCCTGATAGGTATATTGTGTCTAAATTTGGTGTCAATTTGTCCAGTAGTTTTTGAGTTATGTTAATCCCACAAACAAACATTATACACACACACAAACACACACACACACACACATGTGTGTATGTGTATATATGTGTGTGTGGGGGGGGGGGGCTATATATATACACACTAGCCGTTGCCTGCCACATATTGCTATGGCCCAGTCTGTGTATATGTGTTTTGTGTGTTGGACTGATAGGTATATTGTGTCCAAATTTGGTGTCAGTTTGCCCAATGGTTTTCAAGTTATGTTAATCCCACAAACGAACATTACAATTTATTTATTTATTTATTTATTTATTTATTTATTTATTTAGAGATAGATAGATAGAGATAGAGATAGAGATAGAGATAGAGATAGAGATAGAGATAGAGATATCTCGGTCTGCCCTCCATGTTATATATAGTTGTTTTGAGGCTCCTTTGTGGAGAGAAAAAAGCAATCAGGGTGTGTGTGTGTATTTGTGTGTGTGTGTATGCACACACACACACAAATACACGCACACCGTTTGCTTTTTATGTATATGAATGATGACAATTACATGCCCCATCAGCACAGATTGGGTTTCCTTACTCAGAAATGTGACATTCCACCTTAGTACTCATTGTACTTGCATAGAAAAGGAGATAAGTTGAAAAGTAGGGAAATTAATGCAGTGACAAACCATTTATGGGCTTTCCTCGTTTTCGAAAAATGAAACAAAACGACATGCAAAGATACAGAATGGGGGACGATGAGGCCTGGCTCGAGAGCAGTACGTGTGAAAAAGATCTTGGAGTCCTCGTGGACAACAAGTTAAACATGAGCCAGGAATGTGATGTGGCGGCAAAAAAAGCCAATGGGATTTTGGCCTGCATCAAGAGGAGCATAGTGTCTACATCTAGGGAAGTAATGCTCCCCATGCTCTATTCGCTTTGGTTAGACCACACCTGGAATATTGTGTCCAATTCTGGGCACCACAATTCAAGAGAGATATTGACAAGCTGGAATGTGTCCAGAGGAGGGCAACTAAAACGATCAAGGGTCTGGAGAACAAGCCCTATGAGGAGTGGCTTAAGGAGCTGGGCATGTTTAGCCTGAAGAAGAGAATGCTGAGAGGAGACATGATGAGAGACCATGTATCAATATGTGAGGGGAAGTCACAGGGAGGAGGGAGCAAGCTTGTTTTCTGCTTCCCTGGAGACTAGGACACAACGGAGCAATGGCTTCAAACTACAAGAGAGGAGATTCCATCTGAACATGAGGAAGAACTTCCTGACTGTGAGAGCCGTTCAGCAGTGGAACTCTCTGCCCCGGAGTGTGGTGGAGGCTCCTTCTTTGGAAGCTTTTAAACAGAGGCTGGATGGCCATCTGTCAGGGGTGATTTGAAGGCAGTATTCCTGCTTCTTGGCAGAATGGGGTTGGACTGGATGGCCCATGAGGTCTCTTCCAACTCTAGGATTCTATGAGTCTATGATTTGTATCTTGGCCACAGGGAGGAGGGAGCAAGCTTGTTTTCTGCTTCCTTGGAGACTAGGACGGGAACAATGGCTTCAAACTACAAGAAAGGAGATTCCATCTGAACATTAGGAAGAACTTCCTGAATGTGAGAGCTGTTCAGCAGTGGAACTCTCTGCCCCGGAGTGTGGTGGAGGCTCCTTCTTTGGAAGCTTTTAAACAGAGGCTGGATGGCCATCTGTCAGGGGTGATTTGAATGCAATTCCTGCTTCTTGGCAGAATGGGGTTGGACTGGATGGCCCATGAGGTCTCTTCCAACTCTAGGATTCTATGAGTCAACCCAATCTGTGATTTGTAGCCCACCTGAAAGTAACTTTACACACTCTCTAGCTGCATAAAAATGGTTGTGGATGGATGGATGGATAGATGTGTACAAACTACAAGAGGAGATTCCATCTGAACACGAGGAAGAACTTCCTGACTGTGAGAGCTGTTCAGCAGTGGAACTCTCTGCCCCGGAGTGTGGTAGAGGCTCCTTCTTTGGAAGCTTTTAAACAGAGGCTGGATGGCCATCTGTCAGGGGTGATTTGAATGCAATATTCCTGCTTCTTGGCAGAATGGGGTTGGACTGGATGGCCCAGGAGGTCTCTTCCAACTCTTTGATTCTATGATTCTATGAAGGGGGACAATCTCTCAAGATGGATCCTTCTTGATATGGCTACCAAATGCAGCATTCCTTTTTTTAATGATTCTCTTCAATGAAAGGCTTTCAGTTGAGTTTTTCTCCCCGCCTTTGACTTATCTTACACTATCTTGGGCTGAGTAAGCATTAACTATCCTGACCCACCAGAGACATTTCAAGAGAGCTCACGTGCCTCGAAATTCTGCTGCATTAGCTTTAGAAAAACATGCTGTTGACCAGTTTGCCCTGAGGCTTGCTTGTCTGCTTCCTGGAGCCATAAATCCACCATGTGAGTCTGAGCTGTCCTTCTGCCCTGGCCAGACATGCAAGGGTCAGTTGGGATCTCTTGCTGACCACAGTCAAAATCTCAGAAACAGCCACGGAGGGACTTGGCTGTCATCTCGTGGAGGACAGAAGCACCCGCTCTCCGGCATGTATTTGAATTGTTTACTTTAGTCTGACTTCTCTTTTCTCTCAATGTAGGGACTCGAGGTGGCTACCAATAAATATAAAACAATCCTAATTAAAGCAATATGAACGCATTGCAATCTAAATACAAAAGTTATAATCTGACACACATTTATTTTGCCCTAGTAAAATAGTAGATACACACCCAAAGTGATGAACAAAATGGTTTCATTTTTGAACTTAAAATAGATTGGAAATTGTGCTTTGGGTCCCACAGCTGAATACTTACTTACTTAGACGATCCCTCGTAGCCCGAGGATGATAGTCCTCCAAGGTCGGTGTCCTGGCGGTGGGTCCGTAGGTGACTGTGGAGTCCTATTCTTGATCTGCATTGTCTCCTGCAGTGAGGGCATCGGTTTCTAGGTTGGCAGAATCTGGGGCTAACAGCGGGAGCTCATGCTGCTCCCCGGACTCGAACCTGCAAGAA